ATTCACTGCCATGTAGATACAGTTAGCTTTCTACCTGTAGAAAGCTAACTGTATCAGAGAGAGATACAGAGAACAGAGAGGACACCTGACCTCTGGGGCACCAAAATCAAGGCTCTTTAGAAACCCATTTTCAAGTGCACTTCATTTTGCTGTAACATTACACAAAACCTGTCTCAGAGCATTCAGTGTGTATTTGGAAGAAAAGTTTTACTACTGAGAAAGACTAAAGGAAACCAAAGTGCTCCATGCATTGTTTAAATTAACTGTGGACATATATTGTACATATTTTGTATGATTTATGTCCAGTTGTGCATAAATGGAAAAGTTGAAGATAAATACAGACTCTGCATGAAAAGACTCTTCTTCTTTTTCAAAATCATTTACAGTTCCTACACTGAATGTGATACCAGACCAAACTTAAAGCCCTTCAATATTTCGTCACTGTCTTTAATCAAAGAAAAGCTAATATTAACACTGAGAGTTTTGTCAAGTTGATTAGATTACTAGCCAACTTGATGCTAATTCTTTAAATTCATAAAAGTGATTCTACAGTAAAAATCTCAGCAGCCTCTGAACACTAAAAGTACCCAACAAAGAAAAAACAAAATAATCTTACATAGAAAAAGAAGCAGCTTTTTGTTTACTTAAGTCACAAACTTATTAAAAAATATTTTTATGTAGTCTGGTATGCTACCATAGTTGCAAGCCCATCAGCATAGTGCTATTCAATATCTACACTTGCTCTCAATCTTCAAATGAAGTCAGAATTGACTGTGAAGATGACAGCATGAGAGAGGTGGGGCTGTCCACCACTTGGTGTAATTGCCGTGAATATGACGAGACTATTGAAACGTAATCTCAGATCTACCTGTTTCTTTTTTGTTATGAGATATTAAAAATGCTATCTAAAATGGTATGTTATTTTTTCACTGAGCTACAAAAGCAGAGGTGGAAACTAATAACCTACTTCCCACTTTCTAAGGTATTGGCTATTAATAAAGAATTCTATCTTCTTATCTTATTACTTATGTCTAAAAAGTACTCTGGTGGCAGAGACTCCCTGTTCAACAAATCAATAATCTCTCTAGTCTGGACACACTGACACATGCATGGCCATGGAAAAAAAAAAAAAAAAAGAAAAAAAAGTAAGTGCTAAATTTTACACAATTCTCTATCAACTGTATTGCTGACTTCCTGGCAAAAGCATTTTTGGATTGCAGTCCTTTAGGATTTAATGTAAAGGCCAAATGTTTGAAATCAGCCAGACAGCATCATTTTGAGTTTGTAGCTAATTGATCTTTAGGGGTTGCAGGCTCACTAAGCCCAGCATGGACTCACTAGATTTTCCCACCATTAAAACAATAATAGCAAGGAAAAGAAAAGATAACATGGTAGGAAGTCTGTTTAACTGTTAAGGGCACAACATGAATCAAGGAAACAATAGCTAAGCAAGCTAGACTGCTGGTTGAGTGGAAATGTTTGAGAAAAAATATATATGACTTTAGAGTGAGCTGCTATTGGAACTTGAACTGGTTTTCTTTCTTCTCTTTTTGTGATTTCTGGCTTGCTTCTTTTGGTACTAAAACTGAGCTATGAAATTACCTCCTCCTGTCTGCAAGAGACAGTCAACTGTATTTGAACTATAAAATAGTTTGCACTTCACATTCTGCACTGGCTGAATAGAAGCTGCAACAAAGAAATCTCAGTTATCATGAAAACGACCAGGAACGGAAGACATCTGAAAGGTATACACAATCACAGAGTCCTTAAGGATCTGTGCTTCATGATGATGATGGGCCAAAAACCAGACTGCTGTGAAAGAATGTCATTAATTTCATAACCCTGAGATGACTGTAGCAACTGTTGGCAGCTGTGTAACTTAAGAGTTAGGTTTTTCTGTCTCTGTGTATTTTGGGGGTTTACGTTAAGCAAAAGCACACCTATCTATACATGTATAGGTAAATGTATATAGGCATGTTTTTCTTCTGCTTCACTTGTCACTCATTCTTCTGACAATCAACTTCCCTGCCATGTAGTAAGTAGTATTATTGCAGAACCAGAAAGCCTACTATGTTACTCTTGCATTTAACTATGTCTGTACACTGGCAAAAATATTTAGAAAAGCAGCACAAGCGGCAGCCCTGTCATTTTGTTAGCATTGTCTTGGATTATTTCCCTTCTCCACTGAAATAAAAACAATCCTTCCCTAAGATTCTTTCAGTACTAAAAATAAATCTGGGAAGAACTCTCAAATAGTTATCAGAAAATTCAACATTAGAAATGGATATATACTCTTCATAGATTAAATCTGTGTTTTGACCACAGCCTGATTTACTGAAGCTTGTTAAGTCAGTTCAGCCATATTGAAATAGCCCAAACTCCGTCATCAACCACTAGTGTCTCACAATTGTTGTACATTAAGTGGCATGGCTGTGATACAGCCTGTTAGACAAAAACCTGCTTTGCCAATCATATATTCGTACAAATTTTACATCATCCTTAACCATCACTGACACACCTGTCAATTGCTTGATTTGGGAATTAAAGCGTTATCATCACTGGCACAAACATGTGCATAGTTCATTCCATGTCCAGAAACAATTGTGCTTTGCTTGAGACACTTTTTCAAACATCACTGGTCATCATTCAGCACCGCTCTCCACCAAACCAAATTTGAATCTTACATTTTAGAAAAACTGTAGAAATTTGTTTAAAAATAGAACCTTACCTGCGTAAGAACTGCCAAAAGTTGGCCAGAGACTCAATATGTCAGTCATTTTATGCCATTAGTAAACATGACAAGTACCTTTCACTTTCCTGTATTTACCTGTAACTATCTGAAAGATCAGTTTAGTCAAAGAACACTGTAAATTCAAAATGTCACCAGTCTTACACAACACCTGCATGAAGTCCATTCTTAATTAAAGAACATTAAGAGGCTGTAGAATAAATCCACAAGGATTACGTTAATAAATAGACTCAGAAGATACAAAAGGACAGAAGACAAGTATCAGATTAAACGAATCTTGTATCAGATTGAAGAACAGATTAGTCCTTAAAGACACTAAATAGTAAGAAGCTGTAGCCACTTATTTATAGATTAGCTGACATCATCGTGTTTTTCCCAAAATTCATGGAAATTCAACTTGTATCTCATGTTCTGCTACCAAGTACAGATCCCACTATTTCAGTGACCAAGGCTGCCTTTGCTCCCCACAATGGCCACTGAGCATAAAGTATTTAAATTCACATCGATTATGCTTTAGAAAATAGCCTGAAGAAAGTTATCACATATACTTAGTTGAACTGAAAAGTTGAACAATTATGGTAATGATAAAAATGTTTACTTGATTGTCCCAATAAGAATTTTGCTTGTTTCATCTACAGTATCCCAGCTTCAATGAGCCCAGAACTCACTTTTTGAAGGCAGGAACAGTGTAAAACTTCACGTTTCCTTCAGCTAATCTGTTCCAGCTAATCTGTTCCATCACCTCTCTACAACTCTGTTCAAGGCAGCTCAGCCACATTATCACAATCCTTAGCAGGTATAAAATATCCACTTAATGGTATGTATTACCCATGCTGTTACTCTACAGCAAATCTTCTCTGTGCTTCCTAATGTTTTTCCCAGTCTGTCAATCTAGTATTTTCTGAGCCCAGATTAGGGTTTTTTGTTTGTTTTGCAAAAGATATAGCTGCAAAATTAGTCCCATAAATTTGAAAGGAAAAATGAAAAACACATCCCTCCATCCTTCTTGTTTTCCTGGAGAGTTTAACTTGGCTTGCAGTTTTAGGTGGATCTGTAAGTGAGAAAGATGGAATTTGAAAAATCTTGCATGTAAAAGGCACCAGAGAGGTAACTAAATAAGTTGGCTGCACAAATACTCATTTTTAAGCTACCTAAACCCCTACACTTTTAATTTTTGCTGCTTGTTATTTATTCCTAATATATCACATTTTTTTAACTTTCATCTTCTTAATGCATTATGAAACCAGGTATAAAAAAGATTCTAAAAATTAAAACATCAATGCGCTGTAGAGACTGTCAGAAAAAACAAGCACACATTCAAAGAGAAAAAATATAACAGACTTGTTATAGTGACATGTAGTTATTTAATTTCTAATGCTTGCTTTTTTTTTTTTTTTTTTTTTTTTTTTTTTTTTTTTTTTTTTTTTTTTTTTTTTTTTTTTCCCTCCCCATAAATTATTGATATTTGCTCCAGGAAGTTTAACATGGTACAAAAAGCAATCATAGCTTTAGGTACTGCTTGCATGGCTAAGGATTTTTCACCTAAGCATTTCAGATATTAATGTAATGGAATATAAAAGTAAGAGTATGCACCACAGGTAAGATTCATCCTCTTACTTATCTTGAGGTACCTGGTTTAAGCTACTCATTTGAGATTCCTGCACAATCACTGGTAAACGACGTGTATCTTCAGAAGGTGATGAAACTCACCTGTTGTAGGGTAACCTGAGAAACCCTCCCTCTCCACTGTCACACAGCTGGCTCACACACCATGCTTAAATTTCATCTGTTAGGTGGGATTAATCCCAGATGAAAGAAGCCATGGGCTCATACATTTTTCTGAGCATTTAAAAGGGTATTTGTGCTTAACCAAGTTGGACTACAGTCATAGCAAGAGAAAACTAACTTGCTGAGTTACACAGCTGCCAACAAGAATTATAAAGAATGTCTGGTTTACAAAACAGAATTTATGCATATTACCTAGTCTTTTTTTTTCTTTTAAAACATATAGGAAAAAAAAGCTGTTCTCCAAGTACACAAAAAAAAAAAAAAGTTTTCAGTACTCTTTAACAGGTAAGGTATCTCTTTAACGGGTAAACAATGATCGATTTGAGTAAAACTTGCTAAAACAAGAATGATGAAACAATCTGTAAGATAAACTGTTTTGTGGAAGGCAGATTAAAGACTTCTACCTTGGTTAGGATTTTAAGTAATTCCAAGAACAGTTTATAAATACTGAAAAGGCATATACCTGGCATCAGTTTAGCGGTAGAGAATATCTTCTCCTGCTTCATTTTACTTTCATGTAATAACTCTTCTGCGGTTATTGGAAGATCTAGAACATCTCGAATAATCTGTGCTCCTTCTAGGGCTTTTTTACCCATGACCAAGGATTTCACATCCCAGGTATAGGTCTTTCCAAAACGCATACAGATCTCCTCAAACACAACTGTGTAGAGACGCTCGGTATCTGCCAAAAATATAATAAAAACATATATATTAAAACCATGTACAGCCAGCTGAGCATCCAGTCTTCACTTCTGTGAAGGTTACTAAGGGTCATAACGAAGAACTATCTGGACTTACTCTTTCACCTTTCTTTACCATGTACGTTAGCAAGCAGTAATTAAAATACTCTATTTATTCTTTGCATGAGAAAGAAAAGAAGGGAAGGAAATCTGGTACTTGGGGGATGTCATTACATATTCCATGTAAATTGAAAAAAAAAAATAAATTAATTATTTAAGAGTGTCTTTGAAGGGAAGCTTCAGAGTGCCTTCAAAGACACTACAGTCATTATTACAGTGCTGCTGGCACCTCTGCATTTACATGTGATTACTCAAGCAGGACACACCCAATTATATATCCAGGGGTATTTCTGGCAAGAGTAAACTTCAGGCTGAATTTTGCCAGTGAAACTATCAGCTTCTAAGTCAAAGGTGGTTTTAGTTTTCAAACCTTTTTTTAATTTTAAATACAAACAAACAGTCCTTTCTGTTTCTCCCCCCAGAAAAAATCTTTGAAAAAGAAAGTCAATAATATTTAACACTAACATGAGGAAGAAAAGTCCTTTCAACTCTTGGCTTCATTTCAGCAAAGATCTTGAACAGTGGCTTCTCTAGCAGTTTCTTTATCTTTCTTAAGTAGTCTCCTTTGAAACACCAGCTAACTGCTGTTAACCATGATTTAATTTCCTTCTCATGCATGTCTTTGCCTTCTGTATCTCTAAAGGTATGTTTATTATTATCACTTTAGCAATGAAAGGCAAAAGTAAGGAAAGAAAGTAGTTGTTCTTATGAGATTTATTTAGAGAAATTGGGGACTTCACTTATCAACATGTCATTTGCCATGCAAAAATATTTTTTAATAGGGATAATAGAGAAATTATTCACACAGACATTGCCTTACTTTCTGAATATATAAGTAGTATGCAACAGAATTAAACTTTAAGCTTTAACATAGACACTACAAAGAAGGCAGACTGAAGAAACAAGAGTAGAGCCCATGACTACAATATACATGAGGATCTTCTCTGCAGTCTGACAAATGCTTGCCACTTAACCACAGTAATCTGCTTGTCTTGAGATCATCTGATGATTCCAATCTGAAATGGAACGAGAAACATAGGGGCTGTTTCTCATCGTCACACCTACCATCATGTGAACACGCAGTAGTGCAGAAGACACACTCTGCTGCCTGCCAGAGTGCTCTTCTCCATGTTCTCCTTCAGTAACAAGAGAGGTTGAGCCAAAAGATCAGTTAAAGACCCGACGTGCTTGTCTGGACTGTTTAAAAGGGCAGCAAATGGCTCACAAAAACCTCTTCGCTTAAAAATGAAAGGAAAAAAGTATAGCACCTATACTACTCTTTGCAAATGCTTCTTAAAACAATGACACTTATGGAAAAAGAGTAGAGACCCATAAAACACACAGGAAAGGTATCAGAGCAGAAACACAAGCAACTGTGCTCTTAAGAGTGTTAAACTGGCTAACGGCTAGAAGGAAAAAGAAACAACAACAAAACCTCCCAGTTTTCTTGATATGGCCAATGGTATTCTCTGGGAGCTGAGAAGGTGAATTAAGTAAAGGTCACAGTTCTCTCTTTCATTTTTTATGGTACACTGATTTTTCTTGTATCTCCAACTCAGTAGGTGAAGGGATATAAAATTTAACCTACATTTAAAATTGAAATTGAAAATTAATCCTCATCCCATTAAGTAACACACAGCAAACTAAGCAGAAATAAAACAAAACAGGGCATGAAAATTTTCCTACAGGTCTCTATGACAGTTACATGTTAATCTATTTTGAAGACTCAACTGTATAGCTAAACATACTCACGTGAATAATCTCCTGCATTTTAAATATCACATACCAGTCTTGTGAACAGAATTTTCTTTTTCTTCTTAAAGAAATGCTTAATAATGTCCAGATTGTGTACCTAAATATAATCTGTTATGCAATGTTGCAGTCTGCCAACTGAAGAGTACTCACAAACAACTTTGTCAGATCTATTAAACCAGTTAATTGTTATCCTGTTCATACTGTTTTAGAACTTTTCTCATTGCTGAGAAAAATAAACACAAAACAAACAAACAAAACCCCAAACTGGCCAACACACCATAAGTGATCACTGCCTACATTTAATTTAAACATGAGTTAAGTCTCATTCCTTCTCCTCATTAATTAGCTGTTAAAAGAACTGGCTTAAAAAACCTCTAACTGTTCTTTCAGAGAGATCACTTTCACTCTGCCTTAAGTCATAGCATTTGGACTCTGGACATCAACTCAGTTTCAGTGAAAATTATGATAAACTCAAGATACATGACCTCTTGTAAGATTCTATGTATTTGTAATTCTTCAGAAACAATTATTTTAATTCTTGTGATTGTATGACAAAAACATAGATGTGGGCATTTTACTTGCCTAAATAGACATGTTCACTACAGCACATGAATAAAAATCGAGATTTGGGGAAAAAAATTACACACACAGGAGTGCACACACCCACTGCAGAATCTTCGTTTGGAATCTGAGGAGACCACTGCTGAAAAAGTTCCATTTCCTACATAGCTGTATAACTAAGGACATTTGTAGATAAGGACATTCATTTAGATTGAAGACAAGGGAAAATCTGCGTGTCCTCCCTTTAAGTTGAAAGCAGTAAATAAATACTAAATAATGATACAACTTCACGATTTCTTATTCCCATTGAAATGGAGGAATCTCAAAAAAAGTGCTTAACAAATATGATGTAGGCTAGCTTTTTCACCATCATAACAAGAAATAAACCACAGCACAATCAAAGTATAGCAAAGAATCATAACTTCAAACTACTATAAATCTGCAATTTATTGCTTATCTGCAATAAGAAATTAAATCTAATGCATACACATAAACATAACACATCAATGAAATAAAACAAGCAAAAGGAATTAGATGCTCAATTCAAATGCTTAGTTATAGGCACCTACTGTTATCTTAGACACCCTGTATGTCCAAGACATCCACATGCAGCTGACATTAAAAAAAAGTAATCTGGGAGAGACTCATGCCTTACTCAGGAGCAGCCAGATGCCCTACAGCACCCCAAGCGGCAATAAACACTGTTATTTCAGAACCTGAATCCAGCCCCAGATGGTAGCTCCCATCAGCAATGCAAGCAGAGAACACATCTGGACACATGTGGCAGTGGTCTGCTCTAACAGTGGGAAGCAAAAGCAAGATGTCTTAGCTCCTGCAATTTGCAGTAAATGTATAATCTCAGCTTCATTCTCTTTGGCCTTTCAAAATGCTCTTAATCTTTCTAGTTTTTGTCCCTGCATGTATCTTTCACATGGACATTATCAGCACGACATACTGTCCATCCACTCACTACATTTCACTCGGAATGAGTGATACTCATTCCCTAGCCACTTATCATCTTTTAGTCAGTTTTATAGCAATGCTTCTTCTATATAAAAAGCACAGTCAACTCCAGTGCTTGCTGTTTACAGTGTGTAAAAGCCGGTCACAACAAATACAATAAAGTAACAAGAATGACAGAGGCACTGGATTACTCAATTTGTGATCTGGCACAAAAATATGCTAATGCATATTCAGAAAAACCTACGGGTCACTTGGCATCAGACCACAGTGAATAACTGGCATGTATGATCTGCTTGAATCACTGCAGAGTCAGAATTAGAAGTGCAAATCTATCTAGATTAGGGGTACAGCAAGCGTCAATGTAGTATCTAAACCTCAGCTTTGTCAGCTGCTTACTTACAGATGAAGACAGTTTAAGATGAAGATTATGTCTTCATCAATTAATATGGAACTTTTTTTTTTTTTACAGAAATTATTAAAATTATTTTATTGCAATTTTAAAATAATCTCTGATTTATCAAGATGAGGTTAGTAGGCATGAAAGTAGCCATAACCCTTGGTTCTGAGTTTTTCTTTGCTTGAATAACCCATCCCACCCTTGCACAAGGCTTCCCAGATGAAATACACCTATGATTTATCCTTCTGATAGGAGTCTAAATAGAATTTTAATTCTGACCTTTCAATATATTCCAGTAAATCAAAATCAGATCCTGAACACCTAAACTCTTCAAGATTTTTACTTTGATGGGGGATAGAGAAATGGTTACATTTAATTCAAGCAAGAGGTTTCTTGTGCCCATACCTGTAAGGCAGAATTCTGTATATATGTAGAAGAGAACCATCTTCGATATTCAGTTTAGACAAATTCAAACACAGTTAGTCATTCTTACCAAGGTTTTGGCCCAAGATTGTGAAAATCTCATTAGATTTTGTCACTATCAATACTGAACAAACACACAGATGACTATGATTTTGCTTTCATATCAGTCTTTCACAATATTCCTTTCATCTCTTTAGGATGCAACAGTGTAAGAAGCCATACAAATTACTGAAATGCTCATTTGGGGTAGAAGAGATAAATATAATTATAAACCAGGACATAATTATAGAAGTGGAAATTTTTGCTTGCTTTTTGAAATTCAATTGGTGGCATTTAGCACAGTAAAAAGTGTTAACTTGCAAATAAATTGACACAAGTGTTGAAATGCTGGGGACGATCAACAACATTCCACGATATTAGATGTTTCTTCTACTCATGGAGTTACATAACAGTAATGACAGTTACATTTTCTTTCATTTCTGGATTTACATGTAGCACCGGTCTTTGGGTGTTTATATTCCCACTATATCAACTGAACAATGTTAAAGAACATAGGATTTAAACACAGTAATGGCAAAACCAAAATAGTGACAGAAAGACGTAACTTTTTCAAGTCTTGAATATCACATGCAGAACTTAAGTCAATGGTCCTCCAAGTTTCATGCCCACCAACTAAAACATCTGCAAAATCATGAACTCATGGTTCCCTTCCCTCTCTCTCCAGTGTACAAAAGATGCGGCTGATCAGCTCACTGACCGGTTGTGTCAAGTCTATGAGACTTG